TAAACATAGCTGAACTGATTTTGCATTGTCTCTTGGAGTTCTTTGGGCTAAACCTGACAGAATCACACGGATTTCAGGAAGGCATCTTTCATGCTGGTCAGGGATGAAAACATAGTCTTGAAAACCAGAAGAGTAAATTCCTAGGATGGGCTAGGATGGTGCTGAGTCAGGGGTCCAATAGTATGGGTGGCCTGGCGCCGGGAGGGAAGGGTATGATCTGTTTGTCTATTGTTGCTTTTATCGGTGATTGTGAGCTGCCTAGGATTACTGCGTGAGATAGGTGACTGTCTAAGCTCTATAAACAAACACACACACGCTTTCTTGGCAGACTCATCCCAAGCCAGGTGAGGTAGACTCTCTTTCCTCCCCTAGCCCCTACCCCTGGGCTGGGCTGGGCTGCCTCTTCTCACATCAACTGAATGCTCTTCCTCCTGCTTCCCATGATCTCTTACAGATCATGTAAGATTTGACTTTTCTGTGTGTGTGTGTTTTTTTTTTCCCTTAGTCCCAAAACCTTCTGGGATAAAAGCTGCTCCTAAACCCAGTCTGGGGAAACTCTCAGCTTCCAACATCACTGGCACCTCTCTCCGTCTGACCTGGAAGGTCTCGACTGGAAAATTTGAATCCTTCAGCATTGAGTACAGAGACGCAGAGGGGAATCTCCAGGCACTGTCTGTAGACAGCAGTGCCCGGGACATTGTCGTTTCCAACCTCGTGCCCTCACACAGATATAAGTTCAACCTCTACGGCATCTCTCAACAGAAACGATTAGGTCCTGTCTCTACGGAAGCGGTCACAGGTCAGAGACTCAAAGGTCTTTAAGAAGAATGGAAAAAATCCCTTTCTCCCTACTTGATTATTTCCTTTGCAGATTTTTTCTGTCTGCCCTATATGTAGATATATATGTAGGACCTTATATACCTGAGATGGGCTTCTTCCCTAGAGTCAATAATGCAAGGACATCTCTTCAGAAGAGGACTAAGGGGGAAAAAGCTGTCTACAAGGGAGTAAGGGAAATTCCGCAAGGGACTACAGGTAGTCCTCACTTAACGATTGTTTAATGATGGTTCGAAATTACAACGGCCTTGGAAAGGGTGCTTTAGGACCCACAACGCATTTCGGGGCATTGCAAAACATTGCGCCGCCGCCTTGCAGTCATGTGGCCACATTTCAGGCGCTTGGCAACTAGCTCGCATTTACGACCAGTTGCCAACCGCCCCAAAATCACTTTATCAACATTTGCAATCTTCTCTCCCAACTTCCCTGTTGGATGCCGGCAGGGAAGGTTGCAAGCAGAGGGTACATGCCATTGTGAAGGAAAGGACCTCAGATCTTCAGGATTTGAGCTCTGTAACTGCCCAGAGCTGGGAGGTTTCCCCTCCTCCTTCAGCACTGGGCAGTTACGAACCTCAAATTTTCAGGTGCTCCATTCACCGCTGAGAGAGGGGAGGGGAAAGACAACGGAGCGAAAGAGCTTATCTGCTGAAGGATAGATAAGAGCTCTTTTGCTCTGTCCGCTTAACGACCCGGGAGATCACTTAACGACTGCAACTGGGAGTGCCCAGATTGCAATTGTTGAGCAAAACAGTCACGTGGGCATCTTGCTTAACAACCACTTTGCTCAACAACTGAGATTCCGGTCCCAACTGTGGTCATTAGGCAAGGACTACCTGTATGCCTTTTTTCTTTTTTTTTTGCAAAAAAGTGTTTTTCCCCCCAAATTTTGCAGAATCCGTTCAAGTCCTTGCAGAACCCTGGGTTCTATGGAACCCAATTTAGATATCCTGGCTAGATTACTTAGCACTTTGTGAAAATCATGGCCCTGTTCATAACATTTTATATTTTTATTTGTTCCAGCTCGAGGGAAGGACTCAGAGACCAAACCCAAGCTGGGTGATCTCTCCATCTCTGGAGTCACCAATGATTCTGTCCGCCTTTCATGGACTGTCTCGTCTGGGAAATTTGACTCCTTTCTTGTCCGATATCAGGACGCCCAAGAGAAGCCTCAAACCATGCCCGTTGATGTGGACTCCCGGACAGTTTTCATCTCCAACCTAATACCTTCCCACAAATACACATTCAGCCTCTATGGCCTCTCTGGGAAGAAACGGTTTGGACCAGTCTCTATCGACGCCGTCACAGCAGGTGAATCTCTTTTTTTCTGTCTGTATATCCTCCCTTCTCGATCTTCTCATAGATTTCTTCGGTCTTTCCTTTCCCTTTGCATCCTTGAGCGATTCTTAGAGGAGGGCGTGGTGCTGGCGCCTGTGTCTTTTCTTTTTTTTTTTTTTTT